GGTTTTAATGAGGAGGAGAAAAGACTACATTCTGTAGATTCTGTAACTCTGTACCCCCAGGGTAGGTATACTGCCCCATCGGTAGATTTTGATACCGAGATTCGTGCTGGTCTGAGAGCATCACCAAGTTTAAATATAATCTTCTCCACTGAAAATTCCTGAAAAATATAAAACCTTATCATCAAGAATAAAATTTATAGAAACCAAATACTTAACGATGAAGATATCAATTATAAATGAAGAAAACAATGAATCATATTCGTGGGTGACTCAACTTTTCATCCATAATCCGACTATAGTTTTATGCAACACATGTTCTAGGTCAATTTAATATTCAACTAATCAAATGCTCTCTTCAATTTAACGACAGTCATGTGAATGTTTGTTGTTGAAAAGAGTTTTCTGAAAAAAATTTATGTGTATTGGGGACACCTATAGCATCAATTTACACCATTCCAATTTTCAATGAAACGTCTATAGTGTCGTAGGCCTACAATTACACTAAAACTAAGTGTTTGATGGCGTCACTAATAGCAAAATTTGTTTAATCACGTAAAGCTCTGTATTGCGAACTGTTTCTTATACCTTGACACCATTACCACCACTACCTTGTAGGCTATCGCGGCTTTTCTCTTTTCTTCAATGTAACGATTTGATTGGATTGTACGTTGGCGAATATAGCAATCATAGCCCCCGATCCGACTCAGCCTAATTGTTAACAGTATTTCTATCCAGGACTCTGATTGGCTGTGTTGGCCCATGTACTTTCACTTAAATGAAAGGTAAATCTTACCTGTTTTAGATCTATATTAATAACAGCCTCGAGATCCGTCTCGTCTCCGGAATTTAAATTCCCTTTTTCGTAGACATTTTTACGGGAGGTACTCTGCCATTTTGTATCCATTGACCCATCAACTAGGCTGGAGGGAGGGTGAATTGTGGTGTCCCCACAGGTTTTTCGAGTTCTGTCTGATGGAATTTTAGGCACATCCTCGTGATTGTAGTAGGTCTCCGACTCAAAAAATCCGCAGGTGAATTTCGCCTCCACATTTTTATTTAATGCTACGTTTACAGGGTCCGAGTGCACCAGGCCTGTCAGTAAAACAAACACTAAAGCCCGATTCACACTGAACAAAATCATGTTTAGAGCAAGGTCTTTCTTCCTTTAAATGTTTAATATGAGTCACTTTATTCTGCGTATATCAAAATCCAATAAAAACACAGTTAATAAATTCAATCCATTTTTAATCAAAACACATATAGTTAATTGTCTTTTTCTCTGAAATTCATTAAAATAATTTTATTAACATTGTATCTAATTAACATTGTATCTAATTATCATTGTATCTAATTAACATTGTATCTAATTATCATTGTATCTAATTAACATTGTATCTAATTAACATTGTATCTAATTATCATTGTATCTAATTAACATTGTATCTAATTATCATTGTATCTAATTAACATTGTATCTAATTATCATTGTATCTAATTAACATTGTATCTAATTATCATTGTATCTAATTATCATTGTATCTAATTATCATTGTATCTAATTAACATTGTATCTAATTATCATTGTATCTAATTAACAATGTATCTAATTAACATTGTATCTAATTGTTATATTTATAATTAACTAGATCCATTCTCATGCTACTGACAATGTTTCTGATCCCCATTCCTCATCAGTAAAGCTGGTTCGTAATTGGGGATTCAATTATAGTTTTATATCCTACTGTTCTGTATCTTATTGAACTAATGAAATGAAATAGAGTTTTATATCCTACTGTTCTGTATCTTATTGAACTAATGAAATGAAATAGAGTTTTATATCCTACTGTTCTGTATCTTATTGAACTAATGAAATGAAATAGAGTTTTATATCCTACTGTTCTGTGTCTTATTGGACTAATGAAATGAAATATAGTTTTATATCCTACTTGAACTAATGAAATGAAATAGAGTTTTATATCCTACTGTTCTGTATCTTATTGAACTAATGAAATGAAAGAGAGTTTTATATCATACTGTTCTATATCTTATTGAACTAATGAAATGAAATATAGTTTTATATCCTACTGTTCTGTATCTTATTGAACTAATGAAATGAAATAGAGTTTTATATCCTACTGTTCTGTATCTTATTGAACTAATGAAATGAAATAGAGTTTTATATCCTACTATTCTGTATCTTATTGGACTAATGAAATGAAATGTAGTTTTATATCCTACTGTTCTGTATCATATTGAGCTAATGAAATGAAATAGAGTTTTATATCCTACTGTTCTGTATCTTATTGGACTAATGAAATGAAATAGAGTTATATATCCTACTGTTCTGTATCTTATTGAACTAATGAAATGAAATATAGTTTTATATCCTACTGTTCTGTATCTTATTGAACTAATGAAATGAAATAGAGTTTTATATCCTACTGTTCTGTATCTTATTGAACTAATGAAATGAAAGAGAGTTTTATATCATACTGTTCTATATCTTATTGAACTAATGAAATGAAATATAGTTTTATATCCTACTGTTCTGTATCTTATTGAACTAATGAA